ATGGAATAATAACAATACTAATTATCTCTAATCTAGTATTGGCATAATCAAATAAATTTAGCATAAACAATTGCAATAGTTATTAGAGAATTTAAAGAATTAAATCATGCATCAATCATAATTGGGCTACCCTAGATCTTGGAATAAAGAAACTACTCACTCATAATGAAATAAACAATAACAAAAATAATTAAGGAAAAAATAATTAAGAAAATTAAAGATGAAAAGAAAATACCAAATCTTGAATTAAATGGAAAAACGAAAAGTAGAAATCTTGAATCTTGAATTACAAAAGCTAAAGCAAAATAATGGAGAGTACTAGGTCTTAACAATGTAAAATTAGACTAATAAAAACTTAATTTCAAATAAAACAATACTTAGTGTATTTATAGCCCTAGAAAGATAAGAAGATAATTAAATTTCTTGGCGCATAATCCTTCCAGGAGGCACGGACGTGCCTACAAGCCGTGCCTCTCGAGTGCTCAAAACCTTGTCTTCTGACTTCCAGGCACGGACGTGCCTCTTGACGAGTGTAATTCTGCAGTCTTGGGTACGGACGTGCCCCTGCTAGGCACGAACGTGCCTAATGTCGAAGCTCGTAGCTGTGTAAACTGACTTGGAGGCACGGACGTGCCTCACTCCAAAAGTCCCTAAATAGCTCGTTCTTCAATCAACAAGCCTCGTGAAGGTTCGTGGGCCTCGATTTAGCTTCGTGACTTCGTAAAATATCCAAATTAGCTTCGTTAATCCTGAAATACATCAAAAACAACGAAACTACCCATAAAAGCATCGAATCATCGAAACTAAACCAAATTACACCAAAATAGACTAAAACACTCGACTAAGCTAATAAAACCAACTAAAAATAAGCTAACAAATATGCACAAAACACGACTTATCACCCAAAGACATGCCTCAACTGTTAACATTACTAAGACTTCACTAATTACTAACGATAATTAATTTCATTTCATTCATTGATTGGATTAAGCAATAGACAAGGTTGTCTCCTCATGCTCCATTTTGGAACATCAATAAAAGAAAAACCCCATACCTCCTTTCGGAAACAGCAATAAACATCCAATAGCAGACGGGCACGACTCCGTGGCCATAATATGAGATCTCATCTAACTCCTTATAGTTTTAAAAAGTATTTGAAAACAAGAGACTCGTCGATCAGACGATCTCTAAAAAGTACACGGCTAATACCCCATGTACCCCAACCCCTGTTTGTCATTACTCTAGACGTGCACAAATTCAGAGTTTTATTACTCATCCTTATTGCAGTGTACGTGATTTACCAGTTTAAACTTGGTGATGACTCTAATGCAAAATGATACAACCAATCATACATAAATCATTCAAGCAATTCAAATTTCCAATTCAATTCTTGATTTATTAGTGACAAACAATATTTATTATTAAATCCCTTAACTACCTCGGTGTATAAACACCTTAGGTGCATAAGGCACCTCAAATCATCAACCTCGTCTTATAAGACTTTAATTCTCCCTTTACTCATTCCATTTCAATAAACATGAATGAGCATTAAAATGATTCATTCCCCATATTCACGTACCTTTGCCTCTAAGCTCATCTTGCAAGTTAATGCATAAATAATACCTACAAGATAAATTAATACGCATTTCTCATACATGAAACAAAACTAATCATCACATTAATCACCAATCAAACTTACTACCATACAATTCCAACCAATCCACAAGTTTCCTAACTTGATTCTAAATCTTCCAAGTCCTTAAACATGCTCCTAAAGTCAAGGTTTTCGTATCCTTTTACGTACCTTGAGTAAACGAGTTGATTAAGCACTTTAGGAACTAGAAATCGTCTTCTACAAAGTCCTCTCCTAAACTAAACAATAATAATTCAATCAATACCCAAGCAATATAACTTACTTTAAAACCTTAAAAATTCAAGTAAACAACACTTTAAAACTTTCCCTTTTACTAGAATTAAAAGCTTATATATAGTTTTTTAATACATAAAAACCTTATAATACATACTTATTCATGAAATTACAGCTAGTTTAGGGCTTTAGAAAAATTTAAAAATTTATTTTACACATGAAATCTTGAAATTATAGAAATCTTTATCACTACATACATTATATAGAAAGTTAGTAGACTTTAAACCCAAAAATTCCTCAATTCAACGTAATTAAAGACTCCAAAAACAATAACCAAAAATCTGAAAATTTATTCTGCAATTAAACTTTAAAGTTCCAAACTTTATAATTATAAAATAACCACAACCTTTGTTTAATGAAATTAGAGGCTTGAAACACATGAAATCAATACAATTTAAACCCAAGATTAAAACATTAATAATCTGAAAATTTATTTTAAACATTAAACCTTCGTTAAAAATCAAAAACTGCCCGAAAACCATATTTAGAGGTTGAATTTGGCCACGAGAGGGTGGTGACCATTACCAAAGGTAGTGAGGTGTGATTAAAACTTCATTTACACACGAAAAACACTATTTTATTGTAAAAATCAGACGAGTTAGAATCTAAACGTGATTAAAACGTGATAAAAAAAAATTAAGAACGGAGATCAGAAGCTGATTACGAAAAACTGAAAATTTGTTTTTGAATTAAACATCATCATGAAAGTAGAATTACAATATAATCATGCTTTAATTGAATAACTTGTAGATCACAGTTTAAAACCCCAAAACATGAAAACTAACATTTTTAAGCCCTAATTTTATGAACAAAATTAAAGTGTATAATAAGATTCATAAAACTCATAATTTAAGATAAATTATCACATGATTAAACCATTAAAATCAATTAACAATATCATAAAAAATAATTATCAAAACAATGAAGGATTATGGCAAAAATAAGAAGGAAGAAGGAAAAAGAGAAGAAGAAGAAAAAAGAAAAAAAAAAAGAAAAAGAAAAGGAAATTATAAAAAAGAAAAATGAAGGGAAAATAAAATAAAGAAAAATAAAGGGAAAAGAAATAAAGACTAACCTTTTTGTGTGGGGAAAATTTGGGGATTCATGGGGTATTTATAATAGAGAATTGTAGGATAGAATTGGGCCTCGTGAAAATAATTGGTCAATTAAATAAACAAATGGATTATGCTTTGTTTTTATGATAATGGGTTGTAGGATATAGGTTCATAAAATAATTTAGCCTAAAATAATTTTTGACCCAATTAATAATTTGAAACTTTTTAAATTAAATTCTGGAAAAATACAAATAAATATTATAAATAAAATAAAATTTCATTTATAAAATATTTAAAATTACGGGGAACTACAGGCTATAACTCCGAATTGGATGATTCTTGAGCCTAACCTCAAGGATTTTTCTAGAGGAACAATTTTCTATGAAATAGAAAAACCCCAAAACTGACCAGAAGTGACCGAAAATCGGCTCCAAGAATATACGGGCTGATTTTCTTTTAATAAAGAGGAGAAGAAAAGTAGGAAAAAATTGAAGGAAAAGAAGAGTAAGAGAGAAGAAGAGAATTGAGTTTTGGTGTGAAGAATATGAGAGGTATGAGGGGGTATTTATAGGCTCATGAATGAAAGAATTAAGGAAAGATCTTGTAGGAAGAATTATGGTAAATTGGTTTATGGAAATTACTTAGAGAAGAGAGCTAAAGAATTATGGAAAGTCTAGGTTATGGTGATTAAGTAATGAAGAAATAAAGTAAGTATGTAGTCATGAAATATTAAATGGTAAATGGCTTTGCTTTTAAGGTAGGGAAATAAGATGATCAAATATTGAGGAGATGAAAAATAAAAATTAAGGAAAATAATAGAATTAAGGAAGATAATTAAAATACAAAAATTACCAAAATAATTTTAGAAAATTCAAATATCTTTTTGGCTCCAAAATTCAAATAGTATAATAAATTACTAAAATACCCTTTTTTGAAAATATTAATTAATTAGAAAATACGTTTCAAAAATACGGGGCATTACATATTATGTCAAGAGATATTATAGTCCACATATATAATTATGTTGGTCTCTTTCTTTAATTTTGGGATGTTTAAAAATTTTATTTTTAATTTTATTATTATTTTTTATTAGTTAGAATTTGATGTGCTTCAATGAAATGGTGACGATTGAAATTATGTAGTATGTAACGGTTAAAAATAATATGGTGAAAATGTTCGTTTAAAAAATTGGAAAAAAAAAGTAAATTAAGCTAGAAAAATAAAAAAAATTAAAAAAATAAGCTAAATAAAATAAATAAATAAAAAATTGTTCTAAACCCATTGGGTTGACTCGAACCCGACACTTTGGGTTAGGGTTGAGCATTTCTCGACTCGTGACCCGAAGTAACCCGACCTAAATGACCCCGTGACCCGGAGCGACCTGACCCGAACCCGACCCGATTGACAGGTCTAGATTATAGACTAGCTTATAGTATGAAGTTAGTTATAATATAAACTCTTACAGTATATAATGACACAACGACACCCTTATACTACCTCCGTTAAATATTAATTGCAACTTTGGGGTATTATTTGTGAGATATAAAATATTCCAAAGTTACAACTAATATTTAACGGAGGTAGTACTACAAATGACTTATAAGTTCTTTAAAAAATTCAGTGTTCCTTTAAAACTTTCAATTTCAAAAATTTGGTAAAAAAAAGACTCCGTATGATGTATTAGATGTCCTTTGAAATTAATTACTACCTCTGTTTCATATTTTTTACAGCGTTGGAATATTTTATACTACCTTCGTATACAATATTTACAAATAATACCCAAAAAATTAAAGAAAAAAGTTGTTTAGTAGTGGGAATCAAAAACCGTTATAGAATTGAACCTTCAATATTTATATTGTGGGCCCCACCATCCGGTAACCGGTAAGTCTTTTCCACCGTCCATCCGCCAAGTTTCACCACTCGTTGCCCCCTCCACTTCCCAAAGACCCAAAACGAGCAACATCTTAAAGGGTAAAACAGTAAATTCAGCCTCTTACCCAAACCAAACCCTTATAAAAAGGAAAAAAAAAAGACTTTTAATTTTAAGGTCCATTGAAACACAACAAGTCACGTGACATAATACACGTGACACTCACACATTCCTCCCTCTCACAGTCCACGTCATCAAAAGTGGGACCCAATTCCCTTCCCCTTTGGCGCGCTTGCAATTTCATCCTACGTGTCACCCTGGTAAATAAACCAACATTCCAAGGGCAAAACAGTAAAAACAGTTCGAACTAGAGAAACACTAAAACAACTTTCAGTTCATAACAGAAAGAGGCAGCAAACAGCAACACACAACAAAAAAATTAAACTAAACTCAACTGAAGAACAACAAACATCAACAAACAAACCCAGAAAATACGGAATAACCTATGCATTTATCCTACAATTAATCAAACTACACTTCAATGGATGAAACTCAGGTAATCTTGCTCTTATGTTTCCTCAATTTCTCCGAATAAAATTTCTTTTTAAAAAAAAAAAATTCATCAACCACTTTTATAAACAGTGTATTCAGTTCTTCCAACTACCTTTTTTTTTTTTTTTTTTTTTTTTTGAATTTGGGAGAATTTGATGATTTTTAAGATTAATTCAATGGATTTAAGAAATGGGTGTTGATTAATTTTCAAAATAAATTTGAAAATTTTGTGGGTTTTTTTTTATAATTTTTTTGATTAATTTTGTAGAAAATGACGGCGTTGAAGAAGGCTTATGCGGAGATAATACTGAATACGGCGAAGGAAGCGGCGGCAAGGATAATGGCGTCGGAGAGAAAATCACAACAATTTCATCACGATCTTAATTGTACTAAAGAGGAAGCTCTTCGTCTTTTACTCCGTCAAAAACAAACTATGGATGCTAAAGTAATGTGGTTTTCTTTTTTCCTTGTGATTCTTGCTCTTTCTTCGAGTTTTCGATTTTTTTATTGGATATGTGAATGTTTTCTTTGTTGGGTGTCAAATCTTAGGTTGTGGGTGTTTTCATTTTTGATTGATGGTGTTAAATTTAGGGTCTTGAGTTTGTAGTGATGGAGATGAAATTGTATGTCAATTGGGAAATAAGAGATAATGGATTGTGATTTTTTTTTAGTAGGTGTTTGAAATCGTGTTATGATTGGGGAGGCGAGGCAGGGTTTCGGATTGGATGTTCTGTTTATGATGTTCTTGTTGGCAATTTTGGGATCATTCTGAAATCTGATGCATTGTTGATTGTTCTGCTGGCAGCTGGCCTGTTGGTGCTAATTTCTGCTTTGGTTTCGAGGATACTATTGAAGATCGCCTTACACTGTGTGTATGTGTGATCCTCGGCGTTGATTTTTGTTTCACAGTACTTGTGAAGTGTGGTCAGTTTGTGGGAGTGTGCTTCTGTTTAATGAATTGGGAGGTGATTTTCTTCTGTGTTTGTTTCAAGAAAAGCTTTGAATGTGAATATTAATTGTCTGTTAATCATGTTTGATAACAATGAGTATGCTATAATATATTAATATGAAGTCTAAATAGTTTGGCTTTTGGTTATGTGTTATGTCAAAGTTACCATATCTCTGATATTATAAAGGGGTTAAGCATGTGGATTGGAAACTTGATTGATTGCCTTTGCTTTATTGTCAGATAAATGAAGTGGAGATGAAATCCTTAAACCAACAAAGAAGAATAGAAGAGCTAGAAGCTCAGCTCCAAGAAGCTGAGGATATAGTGAGTAACCTGAGAGTAGAGCTGAATGAGGCGCATATGAAGTTGGAGGAAGTAGCAAATAACCAAACAAAGAATTCACCAGATACGACTGAAAGGGATGATCACTGTGAAGAAGGAACCGAACAGCCTGAGAATGGGCTATCTGAAGCTGTCTCAGTTGCGCAAACTATTTCCTTGGACATATCAGCAAATGGGCATTATGTTTCAGAAAATTCTTTAGCGGAGTTTGGTTATTCTGGTGATCCAGTTGTTCCTTCAATAATTATGAGAAGCAAAAAACCTGAGCTATATAGAAACGGCTGCACACAAAGGATACGTGCGTATGAAGGGAGTCTTATAAATGGCCATTTTTCTCTGTCTGGAGAGTCGGATGATTTGAAAAATGAGAAAGCTATAAGCGAAGATAAAGAAAGTGAAGGGATGTACATGGCTCCTGTAGTTGCTGATACTACATTTTCTTCAGGGAAGAAACCGTTTGACAATCAAGAAGTAAAACATGTGGACAAAGGTAGTAGCTTTGGACATGAATTAAAATCACGTTGTCGTGGAAGAAAAAGAGCTGTTAGACACAGAAAAAGAAATGCTTCCACACCTAACACTATTCCTCATTTGGCCAATGAAACCCTTACCAATCTTTCAAAATCTCAACCTTGCTTAACTAGTTTTCTTGACATGCATGATTCTAGTGATGAACATAAGGAAACACTCCCACACTCACCATCAATATTGCAATCAAGTGTTTCCGAGATGGGAGTATTATCAGAACATGTAGCAACTGCCCGAGGCGATGAAACTGAGGTTCGCGTAGTTGTGGCAAATGAAGATACAGATGTAGCTAGTAGTTTGAATTTGATTAAGCAGCAAAGTGGTTCTGGGGATTGCTTAAATGTTTCGAGTTCAAAACATGATCTTAAAAGTAGTAGCATGCTACAAGCATTAAAACCACGTTGTCATGGCAGAAAAAGAGCTGTTAGATGCAGCAGGAGAAGAGATCTTTCTGCATTTAGCGTTATTCCTCTTCTGGCCAACGAAACACTTTCCAATCTTTCAAACTCTCAACCATGCTTAACTAGTTCTCATGAAATGCATGTAACTAGTGATGGATCTGATGATATAGATAAAGATACACTCCCAAACTCATCTTCAATATTACACTCTAGTGTTTCCGAGATATCAGAACATGTAGCAACTACCCGAGGTGATGATACTGAGGTTCGCATAGATGTGGTGGATGAAGATACAGATGTAGCTACTAGTTTGAATTTGATTAAGCAGCAAAGTGGTTCTGGGGATTGCTTAAATGTTCCGAGTTCAAAACAAGATCTTGAGATGAATAATTCTTCTTCAGTAAACCTCAATTCTACATTGCTGGAAGCTGGTAATGTTTTCTCTAGCCCACCACCAAAAGATAGGGTTCTTAAGTATACTTTCCAGAGAAAACGGAAGAAGGAGTCCGTAAGTGGTGATGATAGCAGTTTGCACCAGGAGAGTCCTTTGAAAAGAATTACTGTAAAGAAGCAGGATGGTGATCTTGAGCCCCCAGAATCTAGTGCTGTGTCTGAAACATCGCGAGATAGTCGAAGGATGGCACAAGTGGCACGCCAGGTTGGTATTCGTCTCTCTAATATATGAAGTTCTATTTTCTATGATTTGGCAAGCTTAATAGTTTGGAATTACTTTTGATTTTGTTTTCACTGAACTCCATTAAAATCTAGTTGATCTTGTAGGCTGGCTGGTTTAGTGCTGATATGTGACAGTGCCTGCATCATTGTAGCTACCTTTATAAATAATATGCTAATAAATAAATTAATAAAAGAGGCAGGCTAAGCTATAACAATGAACCCGAGATATCATGAATTATGTGTTGACGTTTGAGTAATGTCGTATGTTAACGAAGTTGGTTTCCTCTAATGATGTCCATTTTTTTTACCTAAGGTATACGTTGAGCGGGGGATATGATCTCTTAGGCCTGTCTTTGGTTATAGAATAGATGCACTTACATAGAGGAAACATAAATGCTATGCACAGGGCTGCTGCTTAGTCATTTCATGTGTCTTAATTATTTAGTCATCCTGTGCTTGTAGAGCGATAATTTATTTTGTTATTAGGTTTGGGGGAGATTAATCTTCTGACTACACGAGGTTATTGCTCATTCTTTATTGCATTTTAACCTTTATCTCTTCATGCATAATAAATTTGACATATTCAGATTTAAGAAGTGTGAAGTCTTTGGATGCGCTTAATAGATGCATACATGCAGAACTGCACTTGTTCTCAATGGGATTTAAGAGAGAGACAAAGTTGTGTTTATATCTAGAGTTTTCATGAGTATGCTGCAGAACAATGGAAGATGGAAAAACAATGGAAGATGGAAAAGCTGCTCCAATCCAACTGTATATATATATCTTAATGACCAATCCTCGAGCTTATTATATGCTCCAGTTGGGGTAGCTTGAACAATTTTAAATTCTTTGTCTGTGTTTTCTGATTAGAGTTTTTTTTGCACTATGGCTTATCTCTATTGCTTGGTTGGATAGGAATTTAAAACGGGAGCCGATGATATAAGAGGGCAGATAGGGAGGTACAAAAAAGTACAGATATATGTGATGCAAGATTTGGGATGGAATGATTATGTGGGAGGGGGAGGGGTGAAGAGATTTGGGTTAATTTTTCATTGTTTGGAGGTTTGGAAAGATTGTAAAAAGCAGAGAGGAGGAGACACTTGTGATTCCTATACTCAATTTAACTGTAAGTTAGCGAGATTAAACTTCCTTTGTTGAATTCAGAGTGATACATAAACCTTTTAGTACTTTTTTTTACGAGCAATCAAGATTAATAGGAGTGATTTAGGAGATATAAGAACCAATACATTCTTTCAGGATTGATTGAGCAGATTGTCTTATTGGTAATACTTTGGGTTAGATCCACATGACCTTTGCCCAACCCATTTGTTATTCATACCATGGAAAATATACCCCTTCTCCCTCTATCCTTCTCCTCATTCCTATAAATCGTTCTACCGAACACATATTCAGTGAGTGTTCTGTTTGGATATACTGTTTAACATGATGCATTCGATTATATAACTTGCTTCTTGTGGACAAAAGAATTAAATTTGCTTGCAGAATAAAACAAGTTATTAAGGACAGAATTATTGGATCAGCTTGAAGATGCATTTCTAACTGGTCATTACTCCATTAGTGATTTGTGTTGCAAACAAAGTTAGTCTGCACTCGAGAGAGTGAGGACTTGAGTGTTTAGACCCCATATCATTGGATGGCTACATTAGCTGAAAATATCCCAACACTGTCGTCTAGGGGCAAACTATGTGATAATTGCGGCTGTCTCTGTACTCACGTAACTGTGTATGCATTCTTAGGATTTCTTGCTAATTGTGATTGCTGAATCCTTGGAATGTATCCTTTTATAATCTCTAGGTAACTGGTGGGTGGTATGCGTTTGAGCTTCTAGTCTGTGTGGCTGATCAATACTATCTTATTGTATTTTATTTGGACTCTTAAAAATTCTTATCTAGATGTGCATACATATGTGTCAGATAGATCATCTCATTTATGGATGCAACTAGAAGTTTGTTTGGCACTGCTTTTCTTTCAGCTCATTTAGGAGGAGCATTCTTTGATTATGTAGCTTCAAAATTTGTGTCAAACATGTGGTAGTTTCCATTTTGGGACCATGTCGTACATTCTTATTATATTAGAGGTACTTTGTGGTTTGAATTATTTGACCAAAGAATCATGAACTTGGAAAAAATAGCATTAAGATATCATGGTACCTACATGAAATTCAACCTAAAAGAAGAGCAGTAACCATATCGATAATATTAATAAGGAAACCAAAAAAGTAAAAGTAATTATACTAATAACTAATTGTCTATAAGTAATGGTTTTAGTTTTATGCATCGGTACTCTTGGTAGCTCTAATGTTCAAGAAGTAATTATTAATGCTATTATGCTAGACTAGAAGAGGGAAATGGTAGTAGAAAGAGGAGTAATTTAGTAATTTTATGAGAAGCTAGTTAGAGTGTTGGAGTAGAGAGCAAGTCAGGCAATTGCGAGGGAATAATAGGGGATAGGCTGCATATTGCGGGGCGTTGAGAAAAGTTGAGAGAAAAATAGTTACTTGGGAGAGCACCAACCTCTCGAATGTTGGCTATGTTTAATTGGTGACTTCCACCTTGATTATTATCAATACAATCATGTCATACTAGTTTCCCCTAATCTGATATTGCATCTTCTTAATACCTCAGAATTTTCTGTTCTAATAAGAATAGCTAAGGATCATCCTCATTATTAGCATATATATGGCTCTGAACTGCTCATGTATATTTCATTGGGGTTTTATTTATATCTAATTTAGTCATGACAGTAACATTCTCTTTCTCGAGATTCATTATGAAGGTTTGCCCTTAATGCAAAAATGGGAACTATGATATTGTGATGTAGTTATTGATTGGTTTAATCTTTAAAAATAGTGCTCATAGGCAATAGTTAATGGCTTTAACATTGAGGCTGGACTTCTGTTGTTCTAATGGGAAAACAAAGTAGATTGGCTGTTTAGCTGCTGAATTTGCTAATATAGCTGCTGTTCGTATTACTGCAATTTTGCCTCTATGTCTATATCCTGTGATCCTGTCTATTGGCAAAGGCATCAACCTAAAGAATTTAAGTTGGTAGAGTAGTATGTAAAATTCTGAATTTGAGTTTGTTTTCTATTGATTGCTTCGATGTTTAATTTGGAAGTTGTGGCTTGTTCTCCTTGGCCAATTGAATGTAACTGTCTGTTTGGTTTTACAATGTTTGATGATGGTGACCTGAGCCTATTATTTATTCAGGACTCTGAATATTGGAGGGATCTCCAACCAAACTTCCCTTGTGACCTATATTGTGTAGATATCCACTGACATGTTCGAAAATTATCTAATTCGTTGTTGGAATGTTTTGTAGGCTGTAATCCTTTCCATATAGGTGAACAGAAAGAAATCAATTTTCAAAATGATGGAATCCTTGTATTACTTGTAGGTAGAGCTCCACGCCAGACGGTCAGATAGGGAAATCTTGTGAAAAGATAATGTCTTTTGCTAGTAGTAGCCCTAGTAGGAAGGTTACGCAAAAGGTTGCTAGTAATATGCTTTCATAGTTTCATACCACAATAAATCAATGCAAAAACTTTTTTGATAGTAGTTCCTCAAAATACATTGCTTAAAAGTATTTTTATACATTTTTTTTTTGTATATTATGTTTGTATCTCGTTACAAGAAGTAATATTAACCCTACATGCAGCACTTGTTTGTAATACTAAGTAATTACTTTACAGTGAATTTTATGCATGTTCGTGGTTAACAATTCACAGTTACCACTTTTATCCTGTCATATAATGATATAATAACAGTGTTCTCTATTCTATTTGCAGCTCATATCGCTGTCTGAGAAGAAGTGGTGGAAGTAGTTAACAAGTTTGTTGCTTGCTGAAAAACCAAAGCCTAAGAAGGTTACGTGAATTTAGATGGAACAACCTTTCAACGTCATTGTTGATGTGAAATTAGCACCTGATTTAACAACCACAGCGGCTGCTGCTTCTATAGAGAGGGATAGAGAGAGCTGCAAATTAGCTCAGATTAATTAAGTTTCCGTGTCACATTCAATAAAGTAATGTTCTTATTTGTTATAGCAATTTTCCAAATATCTTTGGTTAATACAAAGATGAATCGTTGTCACTTGATTACGTTGAATGTTCTTTACAATTAAGAAGTAATTACTACATATATATAGTCATTGATTTTACTATTACTCTGTATAAGATATGGAAGTACAGTATTAGAGTATTTCTTCTATGATCTATCTTAATTACCTTGCATTGTGGGATGCATTGTGAGGTTATATAGAGCTCTTTCAAGTTGTTTTGCTTACCGTTGTAACCTCAACAAATTTGTTTATTATTCAGGGATTTCATTCTTTAATTGAAACATAAAACTTGTTTCAATTTTTGGGTCTTGAATTAATACGTGGATATAGTATGCAGCACAAGTTAACGACCTAATTAAGCCTATTTTCCGACGTTGACCCTTTATTTTCCAGTGTTGACCTAGGTATGCTTGACTTCTAATCATCCTAATTGTACCCCATTTCCCGCCAAATCGCTTACATATAACCCCCGTTATCTCACTTCTTTAAGATGGTAAACTAAATAAGCATAACTGCATAAGTAGTACTTCATCTATGTGGTTGACCTTCAGAAGAACTAGGAGATGGAGGGATCTCCACCCCTCCCCCCCAAAAGTGGTGGGGGTTCGAATCCTCATCCCCTCCATTTCTGTAATACGATTAATAAAAAATGTGGTTGACCTACAAGACCCTTGTAAACAGTCGTCAAACATCAGAATTTTCTTCTTTTATTTGAAAGTTCCTACGTACTAGGTGCGTCTTCCAATTTTCTTCTTTAGTCATGATTAAAGTCGTTGTATTCGCCGATGCTTGAGAACGAAGAGGAACACAAACTAATATCAAGCATTTATAACAATTACTTAGTTTGTGTTTCACCCTTATCAAGAATCGTAATTACTTATTCTGCTGCACTCGTCGATTCTTTCAAGGATAAACACAAACTATATATATATCACCCTCCAAAACATGAAGAGGGTTCATAAGCTTAATTCTTTCAATAAGGACGATGTTTCAAGTAGTTGCATTGATTATATTTGTGTTTTTATATCGATGTTAAATAATAATTGGATCATATTTTGTTATTTATTATATATATATATATATATATATATATATATATATATATATATATATATAGAGGAAGGCTCATGTAAGAACCCTCCTCTATATAAGAACCCATTATATATAAGAACTAATCTGGACCGTACAATTAGTTTGATCTGACCGCTGAAAATGAATGATTAGTAATGGCATTTTAGTAATTTTTGCTGTTCTTTTCCCTTTCTTTCTCCTCATTCACGGTTCTTCTTTCCTTTTTTTTTTGGGCTTTGAACATTACAGCTCTCTCTCTCCTCTCATACATTACAAATTTACAACTCTTTCTCTCTCCTCTCATACATTACAACTCTCTCTCTTCTCATACTTTTGGATGCAAATTCCTTCAAGAAATTAAGGTTTGTTATTCAATTTTTATAATTTTGATAATTCTTTTAGTTAATTTATTTATTGATATCTATTCTTTGCGAATTTTTGTTGATTTTTTTTTTTATTTTGGCGAATTTGTGTGAAATTTTATTTTTCATATTATTTGTGGATATGCAATTCATCAATTCGAAAATCAGCAAAAATCTGTTTTTTTTTTTCTTTTTGCGATTTCATCATTCATTTTTTTTATTATTGAGATTAATGTAAGTTTATGTCGATTTTATCTTTTTTTTTTTTTTTTTTTTTTTTGCGAATTTTCTTGAGTTTTTTTCATTAATTTCATCAATTTCATTTTCTAGTTTTCTCTTTCTTCTTCGATTTTTCATTTCCAGATTTTTTCAATGTTATATGTTTTTTTGTTTTTTTTTTCCTACTTTCGAGCAATTATTTTTTGTTTTTTTCGATTTTATCTATTTTTTTTTTTTTTGCGAATTTTCTTCAGTTTTTTTTCATTAATTTTCTGTTTTTTTTGTGATTTTTCATTTCCAGATTGTTCTGTTTTTTCCTTTGCTTGAGTTTTTTTTTCCATATTTTTGTTTTTTAATGGATTTTAATTTCTAGTTGCTTTTTTGCTACAATATGTGTTTTTTTAAATAGGTTTTTGCATATTGATGGATTTAGATGGTGTTCAACCTAATTATCCTTCTTCTTGTGTTACTCATTCAGGTAATTTTATTGTTTTTAATGTTTTAATTTCAATTTACTTACATGTTCTAAAGTTTCTTTACTATGTTCTAAAGTTTATCGGTAATGTTCTAAAGTTTTCTCTATATGTTCCCATCCGAATGATAAGTGCAAATGCCATGTTCCGTTGCCTATTGAACTCCTTTTAGAATGCAGAATACATCGGAGTATGAAAGAGTGGTTGATGAAGGATTATAAAAAGTAGTACGTGTGGGTAAACAATATTGATCATTATTGAGGAAGTTAATTAATTTGATAAATAAAAAATATCTAATCCATTTTAAATAATTTGTAATGATTCAAAGTAAACTGTGGGTAAACAATATCGATCATTATTGGATAATGCCACAACAACCTCAAGGCTCGTCTTGGAGCTGGGCATTGGGGGCTTGGGAGTTGGGAATGCTACTTTATCCTAGCAATCTGACATAGGGATAGTTGATGCATGTCACTGCCACTGGAATCACCAAAGCATGGCCCCATCAATCTGACATAGGGAGTAGGGAATCCTACTTTATCTTTATATTCTAAAACTTTCATTCTATGTTCTAAAGTTTACCTTCTAGTTTTAAATTTTACTTTTTATGTTCTAATGTTTACTTTCATTGTATGTTCTAAAGTTAACCTTTTAGTTTAATTTTTTTACTTTATTCTAAATTTTATTATGTATGTTATAAAGTAATTCACTATGTTCTAAAGCAATATGTTATAAGTATGTCCCTAATTTACTATGTTCTAAAGGTTATCCTTGATGTTCTAAAGTTTTCTCTGTATGTTCTAAAGTTTTCTATGTATCTTTCTCTTTATATTATAAAGTTTTTTATTATGTGCTAATGTTTTCTTCATATTCTATGACTTTCATTGTATGTTCTAATGTTTACTTTCATGTTCTAATGCAGTTGGTGATATTTATCGTACTCCAGAGGTTGTTGGATCATTTAGCCCTGGTGGTACCACTAAGGAATGGATTCCAAATGTTCCCAAGGAGTTAAAACCCAGTTTGGGTATGATATTTAAAGATCCTGAAGAGGGTCTTAGTTTTTATAAAGCATATGCAAATGCCGCTGGGTTTACTTCTAGGAAATCTACTACTAAAAGGAAGAAGAATAACAAAGATATAATTGCTTTTCAATATGGAGTTTGCAATAAGGAAGGTTTTAGGGCAATAAGAAAACCTATTGCTCAACAAACAGTTTATGAAGAAGGAAAAGTTCATATTACTAGGAAACGTTTAGTCACTCGTGTAGGATGCAATGCTCACATATGTATGAGATATGATGCTGGAAAGTATGTTGTAACTCATTTCAAAGAAGAACATAATCATCTTTTATATACTCCAAGTTGTGCAAAATTTCAGAAGGATAATAGAAAAATGCATATTATGCATAAAAAGTTGATTGTTGATAATTCAAAGGTGATTTATTTTTATGTACTAAATAATGTTTTTTTTTTGTTTTGATTTACTATGTTCTAAAGTTAATTCTTAATCTTAGTAATATTTTTTTTTTCTAACAGGTAAATGTTGGTCCTGTGAGGTCTTATACTATGATGAAAGAATTAGCTGGATCACATGATAATGTTGGTGCATCTAAACAAGATTTCAAAAATTTTTATAGAGATTTGAAGGCTTATATTGATGGATCAGATGCCCAAATGTTTGTGGATAATTTTCAAAATAAGAAAGTGCTTTGGAGTGCATTTTTTTTTTCCTATGATGTTGATGAAGAAGATAGACTTTGTAGAGCTTTATGGGCTGATCCAATCTGTCGAAAAAATTATGCACTTTTTGGTGATATGGTTTCTTTTGATACCACATTCAAAACAAACAGGTGATGTTTTAAATATAAATTTCTTTCATAATGTAATTAATATTTTACTTTTACATATTAATTTTTTAAACATATGTTCTTATATTCTAAATATCATGCCTTGTGTTCCTAAACAAATATCCATCATGTTTTGATGTTCTAAACAAATATTCTTTATGTTCTAAACTATGTATGCCTTATGTTCTAAACATATATTGCTAATGTTCTACCTTATGCTTTAAAATATATCCATCATGCTTTTATGCTTTAAACATTATGCTTTTGTGTTTTACACTTTATTCTTTGTGTTCTAAACTAATATCCATCATGTTCTAAACATTATGTCTATATGTTCTAAAGTTTACTTATAAGTTTTTAAAGCTTTACTGTATATTTTTAGTTTAGTGTTTATGTTTTAGAGTAATTCATTATGTTTTAAAACAACTATATTACTGCCAAGTTTAATAATTAAAGTAAATTACTATCCTCTAAAGTTTATCCTTAATGTTCTAAAGTATACCTCTATGTTCTAAAGTATACCTCTATGTTCTACAATTTACCTCTATGTTCTAAAGTTTACCTCTATTTTCTGCATAAATAATTTGTGTATGTTACAGATATAATATGATCTTTGGTCCATTTACTGGAGTTGATCATCATAAAAAATGTGTTACTTTTGCGGATTCTTTTGTAGCTCATGAGGATATATCATCTTTTGAATGGGTTTTCAAAACTTTTCTTAAAGCAATGGGAAATAACGAGCCTGTGTGTTTGATTACCGATCAAGACCCTGCAATGAAAGTTGTTGTTCGTAATGTTTTTCAAACTACAGAACATAGGTTTTGTATGTGGCATATTATGAAAAAGGTGCCTGAAAAAGTAGGTCGGGCGATTGCCCAAGACACTGATTTCTTGAAAAAACTGTGTTCATGTGTTTGGCATTTAGAGATTGAGCCGGCAGAATTTGAAGAAAAGTGGAACAAAGTTATTTCAGAATTCCATTTGAACGATCATGAATGGTTGGCATACATGTACAACATACGTGATATGTGGATTCCAGCGTATTTCAGAGATTTATTTTTGGGTGGCATTATGAGAACCACATCTAGATCAGAAAGTGAAAATAATTTTTTCACTATGTTCACAAATCCCCATCTCACTTTGATTGAGTTCTACATGAGGTAATAAGTAATTGTCTATATATGTTCTAAAGTTACTCTTTATGTTCTAAAGTTTTCCTTGTATGCTCTAAAGTTTTCTTTTTATGCTTTATAGTTTTACTATTTATTTTATAATTCTCTTTTATGTTTTCTTTTTCTCTTTATGTTTTAATAATATTTAGATCATAATAAACATGTCATGTATATTTATATGTTCTAATGTAATTCACTCTATGTTCTACAATTATCTTCTATGTTTTAAAGTTAATTTCTATTTTCTATAGGTTTGAATGTGCATTGAATGCTCAAAGGCACACTCAAAATAAAATGGATAATGATTCGAAGAATAAGCGTCCGGAGTGTAAGACTCCAATTCCTTTAGAGAAAGATGCTTCTGAATTGTTTACAACAACAATTTTCTATGAATTTCAATATGAGCTTGAAATTGGATGTTTTAATTGTGGTGTTGAGGAGATGAAGAAGGACAATGAGCTTTACATTTTCAATTTGAGGGAAGGAACTAGAAGGAGGACTTTTGATGTTGTTTTTGATCCAACTACCTTTGATACCAAGTGTTTTTGTAAAAAATTTGAACGTGATGGTGTGCCTTGTAGGCATATGATTTGGGTGTGGAAGGCAAGGATGTTAGAAAAAATTCCCAAGGCCTACATTCTAAATAGATGGTGTACAATGGCTTATAAGAAGCCCATTTTTGATTTAGAGGGTAATGTGTTGGAGGAATGTATTAATGCAGTAGATAAGAAAATGTTATTAAATGATTTGTGGTCTGAAATTCATGCTTGTGTGAGTTTAGTGCAAAACAATGAATATGATCTTAGTGATCTTGTCAAAAAACTTCGAGCCATGAGGGTAGATTTGGAACAGAAGAAAACAAATGGAAGCAACAATCTTTCGAGCAAAGTTAAAGACATTGAAATGCTTATTGGAGCTAGTCTACCTTCTAATGTTTTAATCAAACCTCCTAAAATTTCGAAGAACAAAGGCACGGGGGTTCATGTTCCAAATCAGGTCAATGTTCCAAATGATGTCCATGTTCCAAATCAGGTTCATGTTCCAAATCAGGTAAATGTTCCAAATGATGTCCATGTTCCAAATGATGTCCATGTTCCAAATGAGGTTCATGTTCCAAATAGTGACAAAAGAATGAAGAGTGACAGAGAAAAGTCTATTGAACAAAGTCAAAAGAAGAAGAGATTATGTAGAGCATGTGGGGAGCTTGGTTATCATGATAGTCGTAATTGCCCTGGAAAAGTCAAGTGATATTGTAAGTAAACTTTATTTTTAATTTTCTTATATTTATTTTGTTCTAAAGTAATTATGTTTTAAGCAAGTTTAGAACATAAAGTTATTCATATATGTTCTAAAGTAATTCAATATGTTCTAAAGTGTTTTCTCTTTGTTCTAAAGTTACTTTTCTATGTTCTAAAGTGTTTTCTCTATGTTCTAATGTTTATTCTTTCTGTTTTAGTGTAATTTAATATGCTCTAATGTTTAGAATATAAAGTTATTCATTTTGTTCTAAAGTTTTCCTTTATATTTTAACTTTTCTCTTTATGTTCAAAATATTTTCTTTATATGTTCTAAAGTTTTCTTTATATGTTTTAAAGGTTTCTTTAAATGTTCTAAAGTTTTTACTCTATATAATATCATGTGTTCTAAACTAATAGAAATGGCATGTTATAACATTTTTTAATGCTAAATTATGTGCTTATGTTCTAATATTGTTTTATTTTTTTTTCTTTACAGGTTGGTGAATATACTATTAATCCAGTTGCATGAGATGTTATATATTTAGAAACAATATCTCATTTACTAGCACGTAAAATATTATTCATGTAATTCTTAAAATATAAGAACTCAATTTATTTACTTTTAGAAACAATATATTTTTATTTCTTTTTTGTCCAATTATTATTCAGAGTATCTCTACTAGTGTTTTTCTTATCAATTTTTATGTTAATTAAAGTTGATTATAATGTTTTATAACATCTCCTGTCTTTTCATCTTCCCCCCTTTTCGTAATTATAAGTTGTTTTATTAAGTCAATTTGAACTACGAGTAATGATAGTACAAGCATTTTAGATACCTTTATTAAACAACATTTAGTTGAATCTTGCTTTAATCAACTTTTATTTATTCAAGTTTTCTTAACATTGATTTACATATGCCTTCTTAGATATGCACTAAAGAGTGTATGCATTGTATTCAAAAGGAAAAATAAAGCAAAAGTAATGGATTAGAAGCAGCCAGTTTAGAACATAAGCAAATACTTTAGAACATAGATAAAAATAATTAGAAGATTAGCAAAATCAATAATTTGGACATGTAATAAGAAAAAAAGTACAACATAATAAGATATAATTAGAATCAAGTTACCAATTGAATGCTTTGGAATCTTGTTACTTTGGCTGTTGTCATTTCTTGTTACTTTTTTTTAATTTTCTTATGTTCTAATGTTCTACACTTTAAGTTTTAAGTCAAAATTAATATATAATAATATATTCTAATATCCTAACTTTATAAGCATATAATTATTAAAACATAATCAAAAATACTTTAGAACATACCCATATAATTTAGAACATGAATATAATTTAGCATATAAGTTTATATGATATATTTTATATTAAAATTTTAGCATTTAATATGATTCAACAATATATTTCTTGTAACAGGTAAATACATAGAACATAAAAAATTACTGTTATATTCTTTGCAAATATCTCTCTACAATATAAACTTAAGATCTTAACAATCATATATCCATTTTGTTCTCCTTTGACCACTTTTTTGATCTCCTAATCACTTTGTTCCGTTCTTCATTTACTTCTGCTGTTATTATCTTCCCACAATACTCCACTCTTAATTTTTTCATTTGGTCAAACTGCAAAAAAAAAAAAAAAAAAAAGAGTAACTTTTAGAACATAAACATAAACATTTGGTCAAATTGCAAAAAAAAAAAAAGAGTAACTTTTAGAACATAAACAGAAATACTTTAGAACATAAGCATTATAATTTAGAACATGAATATAATTTAGCATATAAGTATAAATAAATATAATAAACCATAATATATCTAAACATAACCAAACCAACCACAACACTAAAACCATAACACCAAAACATAAACGAAACTAATTTAAAACATGTATCTTATGTTTTAAACTTACATTGTCTAATTCTAGTCCCGAATTCCATTGTTTTACAGATTCTCCTTCATATGTTTCCATGTGCTTCAACAGGAACACTCCACAATCATGTTTGTTCTTATTGCTCTTCCATGACATACTCAAGTTTCTTGTTTTGAAGGAGGATACAAAGTCACTCTTTATATTTGAGTCAATTGAGTGAACGAAATCAGCAAATGCATTCAACTGAAAAATTGGATAAACTTTAGAACATATAAGGTAAACTTTAGAACATAAAGAAAAACTGTAGAACATATAAGGCAAAAGTTAGAACAAAAGTATAATTAAAAAAATGTAAACTTGATGTCTTACCATTAATCTATGGTAATTTCCATATTTATTGTGAAAAGGAATATTTGGTGGAAGAAATCTGTTGTCAATCAAATCAAATGTTCCTTCCACAAAGTTGACACACAGCAAATAGTAGTGATCTAGTAAAACGACCGGGAAGAAAACCTAATAGATAAACAGAATTAGAACATAGATAAGCAAAATTAAAACATAAGCATGCATTTTAGAACATAAGCATATAGATTAGAACACAAGCATATAATTTTTATAACATGTAGTTTAGAACATAAGTAAGTAGTTTAGAAGATAAATAAGTAGTTTAAACATAAGTAGATACTTTAAAACATAGATAAAAATAATTAGAACATAAACAAAACCAATAATTAGAACATATAATAAGAAAAAAGTACAACATAATAAGATACCAAATTACCAATTGAATGCTTTTGAAGCTTGTTACTTCGGTCGTTGTCATTTCTTGTTGCATTCTATCAAACAAAGCCTTCATTCTATCATCTTGCCTTTCATTTGATTTGAAGTATTTTTCTGTACAACGTATGAGCTGAAAAAGAAAAAGAAATTAAAACATAAGTAATTAGAACATAGGTGCATAGTATAATCTATATGAGAAACAAAAAGAATCTACTCTTAGAACATAGTTATAATTTTAAGTTC